TATAAAAATCAATCAATAAAACCAAGCTCATAGATACAAAGAACAGATGGGTGGTCGCTAAAGGTGGGTGGTGGGGGTTGGGAGAAACAGGTGAACTTTTTGGTTTGGGGTTTTGTTTTAGAATAAATTGAATTTAAAGAAAAGAATATTTCAAATATATGAAAGAAAGCATACATCAACAACAACCTAAAAGAAGAAATGTTAGAGGGCATCCTTCAGGTTGGAAGAGTTTAAAAAAAAATTTACAAGATAAAATTTACCATTTTTAGCCATTTTGCAGTATACAATTAAGTAATTTTAGTATATACACAGCATTGTTCATCCATCAGCACCTTTATCTAATTTCAGAAATTTTCCATCATTCCAAAAAGAAACCCTCTATCTTCCAATTCCCCTCTTCCTCCATTCTGTGGCAACCACTGAACTACTTCCTGTTTCTATGGATCACCTGTTCTGGGCATTTTATTTGAATGGAACTATACAATCCCTTTGTGCCTGGCTTCTTTCACTTGGCATAATATTTGCAAGGTTCTTTCATATTGTAACATGCATTGCTATTTAGTTCCTTTTTATGGATTGATAAAATTCCATTGCTAGGTGTCTTAGTTATCTAGGCTGCCATAACAAAATACCACAGACTACGTAGCTTAAACAGTAGAAATTAATTTTCTTACAGTTCTGTTTCTTACTGACTAGAAATCCAATATCAAGATGCTGTCAGGGTTGGTTTGTGGTGAGCCTTTTCTTCCTGGCTCATAGGAGCTGCTTTTTTGCTGTGTCCTTGCATGACCTCTTCTTCTCTGCATGCACAGAATGAGAACTGATGTCCCTTTCGCTTTTACAAGGATACCCACCCTATAGGATTAGGGCCCTTTATGACCTCACTTATCATCAGTTAACCTCCCTAAGACCCTATCTCTAAACAGTTACATTGGGGGTTAGGGCTTCAACATGTGAATTTTGAGGGTGACACAATTTGGTCCAAATAGTGGACATACTAAATTTTGTTTATTCATTCATCAGCTGATGGACGTTTGGGTTGATTCCACTTTTTGACTATTGTGAATAAGAACATTCAATGCACATGCTTTTGTGTGGATATGTTTTTACTTTTCTTGGTTATATACCCTTGAGTGGAATTGCTGGGTCATATGGTAATTTTATGTTTAACCTTTTCAGGAACTACCAAACTGTTTCCACAATGGCTACACCACTTTACAGTTACTTGAGTGGAATTGCTGGGTCATATGGTAATTTTATGTTTAACCTTTTCAGGAACTACCAAACTGTTTCCACAATGGCTACACCACTTTACAGTTTCCACTAGCAATGAATGAGGGTTCCAGTTTCTTCACATCCTCACCAAAAGTTTCTTACTGTCCTTTAAAATGTGTATGTATATGTATATGTATATGTATATGTATATGTATATGTATATGTATATAGCCATCCTAGCAGGTATGTAGTGGTATCTCATTGTGGTTGGCTTTGGTTTGATTTGCATTTTCTTCATCACTAATGATTTTGAACATCTTTTCATGTGCTTTTCAGCTATTTATCTTCTTTGAAGAAATGTCTATTCAAATACTTTGCACATTTTTAAATGGGTTGTTTGTCCTTTTTTGTTATTCTTATGTATTGTGGATATTAGATTGTTGTTAGGTGTGTGATCTGCATATATTTTCTCACATTCTGTAGAGATGGTCTTTCCACTTTCTTGATAGTGCCCTTTGGTACACAAAGTTTTTCATTTTGATAAAGTCCAGTTTATCTACTTGTTTCTTTCATTGTTTGAGTTGTTGGTGCCATATCTAAGAATCCACTGCTAAATCCAAGCTCTTGAAGATTTTCTCCTATGTTTTCATAGTTTTACATGTGCATCTTTGATCCATTTTGAGTTAATATTTTGTATATGGTGTGAAGTAAGGGTCCAATTTTATTCTTTTCCATGTGGCTATCCAGATGTACTAGCACCATTTGTTGAAGGAATTGTTATTCTCCCATTGAATGGTCTTGGCACCCTTGTAAAAATCAGTTGGCCATAGACTTGTGGATTTATTTCTGGACTTTTGATTCTACTCCACTGATCTATGTCTGTACTTAACACCAGTACCGCATTATTTTGATTACTGTGGTTTTGTTTTAAGTTTAAAATTAAGTGTGAATGCTTCAATTTCATTTATTTTCAATATTGTTTTGGATATTCAGGATATCTTGTATTTCCAGGTGAATTTTAGGATCAGTTTGTCCATTTCTGCAAAAAAGGCAGTGGGCATTTTGATAAGGGTTACATTTAACCTGTAGATCAGTTTGAGGAGTATTGTCATCTTAGCAATATTAAATCTTCTAATCCATAAACACAGGATTTACATTTCTTCAGGTCTTCTCTAATGTCTCTCAATATTGTTTTATATTTTTCAATGTACAAGTCTTGTAGTTTCTTGGTCAAGTTTATTTCTAAGTATTTTATTCTTTGTGATGCAATAAGTAAATTGTTTTCTTAATTTCATTTTTTATTGTTCATTGATAGAAGCTGGAAGAATTTTGAGAAGCATGATAGAGAAGGCATAAATTGCCTTTAACAGACAGTAGAAATCCGGATTTGGAGGCTGTTGTAAGGGGAGGGCTTAAAAGGATATGATGAACATGTTATTAGAAGGTGGAAGAAGGGAGATGGTTGTTAGTGGCATGAAACGTAGTAAAATGGTCTCCTCTGGTCATGTGGAAAAGTAGAACTTTTAAGTGATGATCTTGGTTATATAGCTAAAGAGATTTCCTATCAAAGTGTTGAAGGTTAGGTCTGACTTTTGCTACTTAAAATACATCATGAGAGAGAGAGAAAAATTGAGGGAACGATTATTAAACACAAAAAACCCAGGACATGATGATTTTAAAATTCTCAGTCTCCTTAGATGGCAAAAGATTCTAAATGAAAGAAGGCTGTCAGACCACCAAAATTCTACTGGCAGGAAGAAGCCTGATGAAACTACTTAATTGCAAACATAAACATGTACTTACTACCTTTCATGAAAAAGGAAGGATTACTCAGAGGGTAAAACCAAGAGCCCAGACAATAGAGCAGAGAGCACACAGGATTATTTCCAGGCCTTGGAACTTTATAAAGGAACTCCTACTGTTCTCCCAGCTGGATTTCCAAACTGTGGACCCTTTTTTACATTCTATCCCCATCTTGTAACTGGAATGTCTTTAACTGTTACCGTTTCTCTGGCCCCTATTGTTAGTTGAGTGTGTTGGGGTCAGATAAATTATCTATAATAGTGGAATAGCTGGATTATATAGTTAGGTATTTATATATTTATAGCCCACTATTGTTAGTTGAGTGTGTTGGGGTCATATAAATTATCTATCTATAGGAGTAGAATAGCTGGATTATATAGTTAGGTGTTTATATACTGATGTATAAAACCTTTAGTTTCACAGGTCTGTAGATGAAAAGGATCATGTCCCAGTAACTTAATCTATTACATCTAGGAATTTCATTCATACCAAGACCTAATTTAGATGATAAGATTTTGGACTTCTGAGCTGATGCTATAATAGGATGAGTCTCTTAGAAACCCTGAAAGGGAGTTGAATGTATTTTTCATGTGAGAGCACATGGATCATTGGGGGCCAGTGGGAAGACTGTTGTAGACAGACTCCATAGTGCCCTCCACTATGATTCTCACCTCATCGTGTTCACACCTTTGTGTGATTCTCCTGTGAGTGTGAGCAGGATCTGTGGCTTGCTTCAGACCACTAAATGATGGTAAAAGTGATGAGATATCATTCCCATGATTATCTTACATTCTATTAGCTTTTGTCTTGCTAGCTGACCAGTTGTTAGTTTTTCTTGCTGGCTTTGAAGAAGAAAGCTGCCATGACTACTACAGTTACATAAAACTAGATGCTTCTAAATACAGGCAAAAGAGGAGGTGGGTCCTTCCTTACAGTTGAGCTTTTACATGAGAACCCAGCACTGGCCAACATCTTGATTGCAGCCTTGTGAGATGTTAAACAGAGGACTAGCTCAACTGTTCCTGGACTTCTGACCCACAAATCTTTGAGATAATAAATATGTATGATTTGAATAAATTTGTGGTAATTTCTTGTGCAACACAAAATCAGTATAAACAATTCCTTATGTTAAACATATATTATATAATCCTATGATTTGACTCTAAGAAATTTACCCAAGTGAAAGGAAATATATGTCAAGAAAATTCTTGTTCAATAGTGTTCATAACAGGTTACAAGTAGTAGTGCAAAACTTAAAATCCAAAAGTCCATCAATAATAAATGGATAAACAAATTGTGGAACAACAGAATACTACTCAGCAATGTAAAGAAATAAATTATTGACACACACCAAATGACATGGATGAATCTCAGGATGATCATGCTGAGTGAAAGAAGCTGACAAAAGGATAGTAAATACGATATGATTCCATTTATATGAAACTCTACAAAATAAAAACTATAGTGGCAAAAAGGAAATTGTTATTTGGGGATGTTGGGTAAGGTAGGGGCAGGAGGGAGTATTACAAAGGTAATGAACTTTTGGGGATGAAGGATATGGTTCACTATATTAACTGTTTCATAATTTCATGGGTGTATATATAGGTCAGCTTATCAAACTGGACATCTTAAATATGTATGATTTATTGTGTATCAATTATTCTTCAGTAAAGCAGTTTAAAAATGTATTTGCCATTTGCACGTTTTTTCCCTTCACAAATAATTATATACAAAGAGAAACCATAATGTATGTATTATTCATCATAGACCATGCCTTTCTTACTCATCTACACATTCTCAGATATTTTCTAAATATGTTAGTTTCTGCAGGAAATGCAAATATGAATGTTTTGCACTAATGAAATATATAATAGACTGGGTAAGGGTTTGAAGATCATAAACAATTATTTTTTTGTTTTGTTTTTTGTTTTTAAACAATTATTTTTTAATATTGTTTTCACAAATATAGAAAACTACCTTACCAGAAGCAAATCCCTCCCAATGATTACGGGTCAGCTGTTCCATACAGCTCAGAACCATGCTCCACACATCATCAAACACGTAAGCAAGGACATTCTCTTTCATGCAGTAGAATGGAACAATGGGAGGGTACCCTAATTTCTGTTTCTTAACAGCTGCTTCTGATTTCTTTCCATGAAATCCCTCTTCCCTGTAACAGAAGCAAGAGTGAAAAACTTCATGGTTATTCTTCACCATGTGGTCACCGCTGTCCTTTTTGTTTCCTAGGAGTATGATTGTGCCTCTTCTTCCCCACTTCTTTGCCTATCATATATAGCATATGCATTAAGCTGCTTTGTGAAATAAAGGAGTTCTCAACAGAGGAGATGCTCCATTTCCCTTTTTACCCCCACCAACTAATCTTCCAAAAGGCAGAACAAGGAAAAGAAGACTGAAAATCATTGCACATTATTTCGCCTAAAGAGATGAGCATTGTGAGTTGAGCTACAAGTTATGATAATTAAGCATACAGAAATAATTGTTCTGTTGTAATTGGGTAACATTTAGATTAATAGTAATAACATATTGCTGTGCATGTAACTGTCATTCTACATGATTATTTGAGGCAATGATTTATTACTCCAAATAGAACATTAAAATTAGTATCCTTTTAAGTATATAGCAATCCAGGCCTACTTAAAGAAGGAAAAACAATCCCAAATGAATAGTCTAAAGTCTCAATTATTGAAACTGGAAAAGGAAGAACAAATGAGGGTCAAAGTCAGCACAAGGAGGGACATAATAAAGATCAGAAAAGAAATAATTAAAATTTAGAAGAATAAAACAATAGAAAAAAATCAATGAAACCAAGAGCTGGTTCTTTGAGAAAATTAATAAAATAGATAAGCCCCTAGCCAGACTTATTAAGAGAAAAAGAGAATCTACACACATAAACAGAATCAGAAATGAGAAAGAAAAAATCATGACAGACCCCACAGAAATACAAAGAATTATCAGAGAATACTATGAAAATCTATATGCTAACAAGCTGGAAAACCTAGAAGAAATGGACAACTTTCTAGAAAAATACAACCTTCAAAGACTGACCAAGGAAGAAACAGAAAATCTAAACAGATCAATTACCAGCAACCAAATTGAATCTGTAATCAAAAAACTGCCCAAGAACAAAACTTTTGGGCCAGATGGATTCACTGCTGAATTTTATTACACATATACAGAAGACATGATACCCATTCTCCTTAAAGTTTTCTAAAAAATAGAAGAGGAGGGAATACTCCCAAACTTATTCTATGAAGCCAGCATCACCCTAATACCAAAACCGCGCAAAGGCCCCATGAAAAAAGAAAATTACAGACCAATATCCCTGATGAATATAGATGCAAAAATACTCAACAAAATATTAGCAAACCAAATTCAAAAATACATCAAGAGGATCACACACCATGACCAAGTGGGATTCATCTCAGGGATGCAAGGATGGTACAACATTCAAAAATCCGTCAACGTCATCCACCACATCAACAAAAAGAAGGACAAAAACCACATGATCATCTCCATAGATGCTGAAAAAGCATTCGACAAAATTCAACATCCATTCATGATAGAAACTCTCAACAAAATGGGCATAGAGGACAAGTACCTCAACATAATAAAGGCCATATATGATAAACCCACAGCTAACATCATACTGAATAGCGAGAGGCTGAAAGTTTTTCCTCTAAAATCGGGAACAAGACAGTGATGCCCACTCTCCCCACTTTTATTCAACGTAGTACTGGAGGTCCTAGCCACGACAATCAGACAAAACAAAGAAATACAAGGAATCCAGATTGGTAAAGAAGTCAAATTGTCACTATTTGCAGATGACATGATATTGTACATAAAAAACCCTAAAGACTCCACTCCAAAACTACTAGAACTAATATCTGAATTCAGCAAAGTTGCAGGATACAAAGTTAATAACACAGAAATCTGTTGTTCCCTATAGACTAATGAAGAACTAGCAGAAAGAGAAATCAGGAAAACAATTCCATTCACAATTCCATCAAAAAGAATAAAATACCTAGGAATAAACCTAACCAAGGAAGTGAAAGACCTATACCCTGAAAACTACAAGACACTATTAAGAGAAATTAAGGAGGACACTAACGAATGGAATCTCACTGCATACTCTTGGCTAGGAAGAATTAATATCATCAATATGGCCATCCTACCTAAAGCAATCAACA